AATATCTTTTCATACACATAAGAGCCAGAAGTTAAAAACCTACTGGAGGAAAGCAAGGCAATTTAAGAGGTGAGCTGCTTAGCACCAGGTATCTGAACACTGTCTGGAAGTAAGAAACTAAATACATGTCAAATTAGAGGTTTATAAAGCCCTTCATCATCCAGAAGCTATGTCCCCATTCCATGGGCCATGTATGAACAAAGTAACTCAGTGTTCTGCTTTCTTTACCAGGTTAAAAAAAATACAGGAAAACAAATGTCAGAACTTGAATCCAAAGTACTGTCTTTAGAATGGACACTTGCACATGAATTTGATGTTTGAAGAGATGCAGCAAATATGATAAATGAAGGGTGCAGCAATATATTAAGTCTGTGCACAATTTATATACTGGAAATACACATTTGTCTAGGTCATGTAGAAGTTGTCCTATAAAGCTAAAGGTATAGCAGGCACTACTATGAAGTGCACATGAAAACTGATGCCTCCAGAATTTACTCCTAAGAGTTTAATTATTTGTTTGGAGGTTAAAAAGAATCCCAATGATCAGAAAAAAACAGATAGAAAAACCCTGCATTTGAATCACGTACTGCAGTTTCATACAAATAGCCTTTAAGATAGAACTAAGGGGACAGGCATATTTCCCCTTATGCCAGCTGTTTTGGTGAGACATTAGGGTTGACAACATAAAGAGTGCCACAGAGCAAAGCTCAACGTTAGCAGCAGTGGCAAACCATTACAAAAGGGGACTATATCTAACCTACGCTTCCTTCCCAGGAACGCTGTTCCTCCTTTTCCCTTGTAAAGTTTCAGTTTTAACCAGGTTCTTCTGCAACTAAAGTTTGCAGTAATGCTAGGAAGAGGAAGACAAGTTTCCTACCACATTAATCAGCTAAACTGGCTCAGACTCATCTGCTGAGCACATACAACCAAGCCTGGTGGGAAGAGGAAGAGATGAGATTCTCTTCTTTGAAGAACCATGAGATGTCACCACACAGCTTGCTCTTGCTGTGGAACCAGAGAAGCACACTAATAAGAGCAGCTTAGGTATGAATTCAGTCAGCAATTTTAGCTAAGGTACCAGACTTTCAGCTGAGATGGCAGATGTTTGTACTCCTTCTCCTAGGGACACACAAATTTTCAAAGTTTTCTTTTACAACCTGCAGAACAATAAATGCGATTTGTCGTCTAAAGAGACAAATAGGGAATATATGCCACTCTAGGATTCAAAATAGCTGCCTAATTTCAGCCAGTCTTGCCCAAGTGCACTGATATCCCCATGAATCCATTTCAACTCACTGACCCAATAAGAAACTGCTAATGAGTTTGTGAATTAATCTAAATCATTGAAGAACCTGACCATAATTAAACTATATCAAACCATAATTGATACAAGAAAAAAAAAGGAAGAAAAAAATTGAAATCCTTTCTTGCAGCAGGGGTAAGCCATGGTACTATAGGATTTTGCCTATGGTCTCTGAACCACTTTAGAGATGGAACCTGTAAAGCAATATGAGAACTATGGGGTCACAGACCATTAAGCTGACTGAGTTTAGCCACTCTGCACTTTCCCTAGAAAGTGTTAGAAGTCTGCTATTGTAGTCTTTTGACCAAGTACCAAGTGATACTAACTAAATCATGTAGCACAGCTGAGGACTGGCACAAGGGAAACTCCACATCATTTAACTTGATACTTGCTGTGTTTTCCACTCCTTGCAATACTGAAGTCATTTGAATCCAGTTACTTTCTTTCATCTCAACAAGCCAAACATCCTACAGCAATTCCAGCATTTTCTAAGCACCTAGTTCGGTTTGCAGTCTTTGATAATTCTACAAAAAGAAAAATAGATCTTTTATGCCAAAATATGAGACAATCAGCTCATTTGATTTAATTATGGATTGTGGTAGAACCTTTTCCATGGTGAAGTCCTATTCTACTGGCTTTTATCACAGCATCATCCAGTTACTACTGCAACAATTTTATCCGTACAAACATGGTCACACAGATGAAAGCTTCAGGGCTGCAACAGAAGTATTGGTACCTTTGTAGAATGCTTTGAAATATCTGACTGAAATTAAGTATTCCCCTTGCTGTCCAAAAAACATTTTATATCAGGCAATGAAGTTCCAAGTGTTAACTAGCCCAACTGGACCAGGTATCAACAGAAGCTCTGTTAACAAACACAGAAAGATTGGCCTTTACTTTTTCCCCAGGAACACAGTTCACTTTCCTTTCATGCATCTCTAGTATTTACAGGCACTATCCACCTTGAAAGCAGTGCCTGGAGTTTTGTTTTCCCTAAGGAAAACAAATATTTGCCTCCAAACAATATGTTGTTATTGTTATTATTGTGAGTGAAGTTGAGCTGTTAAATTGTATTCTGTGAGTGCCTGCAGTCACTTACTAATTACCATCAGTGAGAGCTGAAATCTTCATTTTTCTGCACTGAAAGGATGAGCAGCTATGTTGATTTCATCCAGCAAACATGTTTCGGTAGCCTTGTTCTGAGACTTGGAACACACCCAGCAAGCAGCCATCGGCAGTGCTGTTTCCCCCCTTTCATTTGAGGGGGTCTCAAAATGGGGATGTGGGAAGGGGGGAGGATTGGAACTACACAGAACTTCCCAGGAGAAGGGGAGGAAAAAAAACACTGAAAACTAGAACCAAAAGGTGACAAGTGATATACTGATGGTGGAAGGACAGAGGAATATCACGTTAAGAGAGGAAGAAGATAAGGAAGCCAGCTGCTTTGGCCCAGAGAAGCTGCAGGAACAGGGTCAAACTCTTTGCAACTTATCTCAAATAGGATGAGGAGGATATATCCTAGGGAAGCAGCGCTCTACATCTGAGAACTACTGTTCTAGCAGCTTACAGATTAGATTGCCTGTGCCTGAACTTACCTGCAGGACACACGCCTGTGAGGGAATATCCTGCTCTGTCACCAGCTTTTTCTACTTGCATACCAAGTAGAACCACATTTTATAACTGCACAGACTAACATTTTGAGCTACCATTCCAGCCTTGCATTTTAGGTTTGCTTTTACTTTGTTTGGCTGTCTAATAATGCGTTTAGTGCATCACTTAAGCACTCTCTTGGAAGGCTGCCTTTCTATTTATCATACCTTTTATGAGGCTGTAAATAGCATTCTTTGAATTAAACAAGCAATAACCCTCACTGTTTTGCAGCCACCCTCTCTCAAAAGTTGTACATCTTGCATCCCATGTGTTGTTTTTTGGTTTTTGTTTTTTTTTTTTTTAATTGAGAAAGATTTACAGTATAAACTGTTCTCATAGTCTCTCCCAAATGTTTCCCCTTGAGTTAATAAATACTTGCAAATACTAATCAGGCACACCCACATTAAGAAACCACCAAAACTCACCAATCAAGAACAGCCGTAGATCATTAATTTGCAGAATAAAAGCTTCTCAACAGGAGCTGAAGGCTTGAAACACTCACTTGTTTTAAAACAATTTCTCGGTCTACAGGACACAAGGACACCCAAGACTGATCTTGATGCATACACCCTTTTCCAAGTACACTTTTGAAAATTAAGTTACATAGAATAAGTTAACATGCCTCTTTAGAGGTCACTTCTAGTTAAGCTGCACATTTGGAGCCAGCCTAGGATGTCTTCACTTTGGTGTTTATACTTAAGAAGTCTACAAAATAACTTGAAGCTCCTGCCCCTGCCACTTTTTTGTTGGGTGGTAAGGACTATTCAACATCTACTCTAGGAGCTGCGCACTTGTGATACGGCCACAGCTCATGCTCCAACATGTCACTTAACACACTCCAACAAGAAGTTTTGGGTTCGGCAAACACAACAATGATAAGTTTTTAGCCCAAAGGTGTAGTCCAAAATGAGGGTAAACCACAATTTTTTAGCATATTAAGAATCCTGCATCCCTTCATTCCAGTATTCCCTGTTACGTATAGTAAGAAAACCACAAGCAGAAAGATACCATAAAAAGCTGTAAAAACAGCCCAATGGCCAGTAAGATGGGTTTTGAAAACAAAACCTAAAAAGTTTCCTCGCCCTTCGAGCACACCCTCTGACCCCCAGTGCTATTTTAAGTTTTTTTCCCCTTTCTCCACTAAACTCCTACTCTCCCTCCTCAGTCACTGGGAGCTTTAACAAACAAGAAGAGGTCTTCCAGAGCTTTCTAGAAAGTTCAAGACACAGGAGAGTTAGAGGAGGTAGAAGTGCCTCTGCTTTCAGTTTGCCCTTAAGGACATCACCATGTTTCACTACGTTAAATGCTTTTGAGCATTTATTAAACAAGCATCTCACAGAAAACTCTTACACCTCTCACACTACCCTGTCTTCAGCCAGGCTTTCCCTCTGAAGCAGCTTATGCAGATCCCATACGGGGAGGAAACTACTTCTAGCACTGAGGCGACTGGAAAATTCGAGCAAAGCCCCCCATCCTGACCCCCAAGAAGGGGGAGGACAGCAAGCCACCATTTCTCACTTGGAGAAGAAAAATCAAGTTGTGAGTTATCACAGCGAGAAGCCGCATCCCAAGAGGACTGAACACACTTCCAGCACATTTTGAAGGAGGAGCGGTCTCTTTGCCTGAAAGCTGCCCTCCAAATGATTTCAAGCACGCTCAAAAAGAGACCACATAGAGCAAAATTTTTTTTCCCCCCACAAGAAACTGTTAGCCACCAGCGGGAGACGGAGGTGGGATGCACACGGGCAGACAACTTTGGGTCAAAAATATGATCAATTTTACCAACTTCACAAGGAAAACATGTATTTTATTTATTTATTTAGAGTCGAAGGGTTAAAAAAGCCCTTCACCCTCTCGGTTTCGGGTCTGCTCCGTGCCCACCACCCCCCCGAGGGGCTCGGGGAGGCTCCGCGGCCATTTTCCCCCACCCCTCCCTTCCTCCCTCCCTCCCTCCTCGCCCCCCGCACCCCTCGGGGGGGCCCCATACCGACCCTTAACGGCTCTCAGCACCCCGGGAGGGGCCCCAGAGCCCTACACCCGGCCTCACCTCATCGTCGTGGTGCTGGCAGTAGCTGGCCCGGTCGGGGAAGACGGAGAGGATGTTGTAGGGCGAGGCGGGGTAGGGCGGGCTGAGGGCGAGCGGCGCAGCCGGCCCGGCGGCAGCAGCAGCAGCGGAGGGGGGCGGCCCGGCGGCGAAGCGCTCGATGAAGTGGTCCTTGGTGAGGCGGACCCGCTGGTGAGCCCGCACGCAGTTGTCGCACAGGTGCTCCTGGCAGTCGAGGCAGCGGGAGCTGGCGGCGTTGCCCTCGTCGCAGGAGCTGCAGCGGGGCTCGCCCTGCCGGCTGTGCGGCCGCCGCAGCAGCAGCGCGGCCGTGGAGGAGCCGCCGCCGCCCCCCGACGACGAGGAGGAGGACGAGGACGTCGAGGAAGGCGCCGCGGACGACGAGGAGGAGGAGGACGACGACGAGGAGACGGCGGCGGCGGGCGAGGAGCCCGGCGGAGCCGAGCGGTGCGGCGGGGGGCGGCCGTGGTGCCGGTTGTTGCCGCCGCCCACCCCCGGGGCCGAGCCGGCGGCGGAGGGGCCGGGGGCGACGGGGCGGCCGTTCTTGTGCTCGTCGGCGGCCGCCGCCACCACCACGACGTCCAGCAGGTTGCTGAGGAGGAAGTTGGAGGAGGGCAGCGCGTCCATGCCCGACGGCTCCGAGATCACCACCTTCTGGTCGCAGATGGGGCAGCGCAGCTTGAGCGCGTCCCCCGCGCCGGGGTGCCGCTGCGCCTCCAGGCACTGGCGGCAGAAGGCGTGCAGGCAGGGCAGGACGTGCAGCCGCCTCGGAGGGCCCCCCCCGCAGGACGAGGAGCCGCCGCCGCCGCCTCCTCCTCCTCCTCCACCCCCCCCGGAGGAGCTGGAGGTCTGCGAGGAAGACGACGAGGTGGAGGAGTTGGAGGAGAGGGGAGCCGGCGAGCCGCACATCTCCTTGCACAGCGGGCAGATCTGGAAGTCGGCCTCCGGGAACGAAGCCATTTGCGAGGGGCCTGATCCGGGTGGAATTGAAGGGGGGGGGGAGAAGAAAAAAAAGCCGATCTCCCCCTCAACACGCAAAAAAATAAATCAAAGAAAAGGAAAAGTGAGGCGAGGAGGGGTGTGGGGGCGTGCCGAAGGTAGTTTTGCAAAGGGCTTTACGAGCACGCTGGCATCGATCAGTCGTTTTGCCAAGTGGGATCGATTGGCCGGGTTTGCAAATAGGGTGTCATCGATCCGGCCGTCCGCAGGGAGCTGCTGGATCCTCGCCTCGTACCTCGCCGCCGTGGGGATGAGGGGGGTAAGGGGGGGTATTTTTGGTATCAAGGTGTAGCCGACCCGCTCTCCCTCAGCAAATGGATCCTCTCTTCCCTTCCATGTACTTAACCCCCGATCCCCCGCTGCATTAGCCGAATTGTATCGATCCCCGCAGCAGTCAATACCTCACGCAGTCCTCTCATTTCCCCCCTCGGGTCAGCAGTTTGACAAGGCGCTTTGGTTACCCGTCTTCTCCCTCGACGGAAAGTGCATGGGCGCCGGGCGCCAGGTCCCCCCCCGTGGCCGCCGGGGCCCGGGCTCAGCTCTGCTTTGCTTTGCTCTGTCCTGGCTCTTTTGCTTTGCTCTCCTCTGGCCGCTGCGGCTCCCTCCGGGCTGGGGGCAGCGGGGCTTAGCGCGACTTTCGCTCTTTCTTCTTGGGGCGTTGGGTTTTGTCCTCTTTTCCTTTAAACCTGTGCTTGGCGGGGGGGAAGGGGAAATTTCGTTTCAGTTCCCCCCTCCACTTTTGCAATCCAGAGCAGCTCTAGGAGAGAGAGAGGCACTGAAACACAGCGGCCGGGCAGACTTCTCCGGCTCCAGTCCTCCCCCGCCGACGCCTGCTCCGCCACCGCATGACTGGGGGTGGGGATGGAGGGCGGCCTCGGTGCCCACCCCACCGGCGGGACCCAGGGGAGGAGGAGATGGATGGGGCAGGGAGGGGAGAAAAAAATTACAGAAAAGGCTGCGGGGACGGCGAGGGAACGGGATCCGGAGGCTGATCGGAGCAGCCCCCCCTGGGCTGGGCTCGCACACGCCGCGGCCGGGCAGAGGAGCAGCGGCAGGTCCCCGCCGGCCGCCCTGAATTATTCATGGGGGGTGGATTAGATTCGCTCGCACAAATTGGAGCCGCTGTGCAATGCTATCCGAGAGCGCTCCGCTCGCCCCCTCCTCCTCCTCCTCCTCCTCTCCTCGGTTCTCGCTCGCTCGGAGCCCCTGCAGCGCCTGGGATCACGTTTCCTTTGTCATCGCGCCTCTTCGCGTGGGGTTTTATTGAGAAAACAAAAATAATATAAAACCCGGGCGGAGGGAGCGAAGAGGAGGAGGGGGAGGAGAAAAAAAAAAAAAAAAAAAAAAAGCAGCCAACCCCCCACACACACACACACTCCCCCCCCTTTTAAAACCCACCTCCCCCTGCAAAACGCCTGGCCGGAGCCCGGCGGCCCCGGGGGGCGAATTAGCAGCAATTACTCACTGATGCGGCGGCACCGTCCCGGCAGCCGGGGAGAGCCATCGCGCCGGGCGCCTTCCCCGGCCCGGCGGGGGTGCGGCGGGGCCGAGCCCGGCCCCGGCGGCGCGGCTGGGAGGTGGGGAAGGGTCCGGGGAAGGGGGGCTCAGGGCGGGGGGCAGCGCATGGCCCGGCCTCGGCAGGGCTGGCGGCGCTGCCTCTGGCCCCGCTGCGGCCGCCGGCACTGGGGCTGGGCGGCGTGCGGGAGCCTTTTAAGCTCCGACGGCGCGGGCTGACTTCCGCCCGGCTCCGGGGGGCGGCCGGGGGGCGGCGGCGGCGGGCAGGAAACATTCGCCCTCCTCCTCCTCCTCCTCCATCTCCTCCTCCTCCTCCTTCTCCTCTTGCTGCCCGACCTGCCCCCATCCGCCCTGCCGGACCCCCCGCCCTTTGCCACGGCTCCTTTCGGAGCCGGGAACCCCCAGCCGCCTTCACCTCCCCCCCCCACACCCTCTTTATTTTTATTTTTTTCCCTTTTAATTTATTTATTCCTTTTCGTTTGGGGGCTTTGCGAAAGCGTCGGGGCGCTAAGGTGGCTTCAAACCTGCCGCATCCTTGCGCCCAGCCCGTTTTGCGCCGCTGCGGCCGGCCCCGGCTCTGCTGCTCTTTCCCCTCCCGACCACGAAGCCAGCAAAAAATCGGCGTCCATCCCCCTCGCACCGCCGCGAAATCCCGGCTGTGACAGCAGCAGGGCGAGGGGGGCTTGCATCCATCCCAACTGGCGTCGCGCCCCTCGCGAGGGGAGATGTTGGAGAGCAAAGAGCTGAGATTGGGAAGGGTACGTGCAGGGCTGTGCATGGAAGAGGTGGTTAAACAAACAAAAAAAGCCAAATGAACTCAAAACAAATGCGCATCAAGCAGTGGTAATAAATAAGGGAAAAAAGAGTGAAAAGGAAAACAGGCTATTGAACTACATGGTATGATGTTCCTCCTCTCTTTAGGCCCTAGACATACAAAACTAGGCACTGACTGAAACTGTCTACTTAGAAATAAAAACACCTTTTGCTGACAGGTACCAAACCCAGCAATGAGCCATGCCTGTGAGCATCTCCAAAAGCTCTTCAGAGACCCAAGAAACTCAAGAGCACAGCGTCCTTATGCCAGACCGCGCACCGGGAATCACTGAAGAAGTCCACAGGGCAGTTCCCATGCATTAGGTTATAAACAAGCATGAATATTTATCGTGCCCCTCAGTAGTGTATGCAGCTGGGAACTTGCGTTATTTATCAGTAAAGGATTTGGCTCCGGGGCTCTGTTCTTTGTATCCCGCATCCATATGTTCACAGCGGAGCGTGCAGGTGAAACCCACCACGGCTTTGACTAGCAGAGGTTAAAAAATCATTGAGCCTTGACTTGACTCTGTTTATTTGTACTGTGGTTGACGCAGAGGATTATGATGCTGTGGAGCTTGTCCTTTTCCAGATGAAGCCAGTTAGTTGCGAAGAGCGGTAACTCCCCGAACAACAAACGCCCAGCCGGGCTGTTTGGGTTTCCCAGATAACGCCTTCCACTAGCCCCCTTGCTTGAAATCCTTGCCTTTTGCATTCAGAAATATTTTAATTGGGCAGAAATCCCCCGGTGCGTGTCTCCAGGCATATCTGACACCCCTGCCTTCCTCGGTGACAGCTGTTTGCTTTTCAGCTAGCCGGCTGAGGGGGGAAATGCTGCGCCTCCATGCTTCAAATGGCTCCTGCGGGTTCACGAGGCTACCTGCGTGTGGAAGGTCCTTTTTTGCTGACAGGATCCACTGTGCTTGTGCCAAAGCTCCTGCACCTCCTGTACCACTTAAACCCTCCCCGAGCTTGTAAAAACCTATAAGCATTCCCTGTCCCCAGACAGTGGGTCCTTATTCCCCGACTGTCATCCCTGTGTTTGGGCACCTCTGTCTTTCTAGATCTAAGTCCCTCTTTTCTCCTCCGTCCACCACCCCGAAGGAATGCAGCATTTTGAGGCTTTCAAGTATGGATGCCTTTCTGTTTTCATTATGAAAAGCACTGAAATAAAGCTAAAGGGAATACACTGATCTCACGCTCGCTTCTGAAACATCAGCTGCTGGAGCACTCGTGTGCTCGGCGACACAGCAGACAGCGCTGAGCATTTTTCTGCTTAGTGCATTGACTCGATGCTTTTCGATCCAATTAACTTCTTCTGCTATAAAAAAAACCCTCGGCTCTCCTCAGACAGAGCAAGGCCTCGATATATTTCATTTGTTTTCTAAGCCGACAAACACAGGGGTGAGTAACAGCGCAAGGGCGATAGGTGAAGTACGGGGGTCCGCTGGTTCCTCGGTAGACAGCAGGATGAGAACTTATTTTTATGATTTTTCCCTGGGAAGCTCATGCTTCGCATCTACCCTTTTTGTTTCCTAAAAACAAAAGAACAATAGCTATCCTGGTTAGCAGGGCTATTGTCCCTCCGTGCCAAATAAATGAAATCTTACTGCTTACGTGAGCGTCCGAGGCATTTCTCGGCATTCTCCTTTGTGTCACTCTGCTGAGGTTTCTCGCATTTCTTCCCTTCTCTCCTGTATTTTTCACGCCCGTTTCTCCCATCTTTCTTTTGTCCCCCATTCATATGCTGTTGCCATCTGAATTTGAAATGGCGTAGCTTGTTCTCGAGGCGAGTCCCTCACTTAGACTGCGGCGAAATCACAACTCTGCTGCGATTGCATCGGAGCTGTGTTAAGATATGAAACTGTTAAAACATTCTGACAATGTGAAAATCTGGGCACAACTGGCCAGATCTTCAGGAGACACCTACCTAGCCTCAAAATAGCTCCGAGGATTTGGGCCAGCTCCTGCCTAATTGGAAAATCTCTATTTGGCAACGTTTGCCTGCCCTTGACTAACCGCCCAGCCACTGCAGCTGACCTGTGCATTAAAAATACATTATTTTTTTTTTTCCTTTTCCCCTTTTATTTCAGAGAAAAATAAGACTTTAGGATGGAAGACTGCACCTGAATCATTCCCTAGCATCTGCTTCAAATGTCGGGATGTGCTTTCCACACTGTCCGTGCTTGGAAACTTTGTCTGCTTGAAGGAAAGCATCTGCTTTCTGCCAGCAGCACGACAGGACAAACAGAACAGTGTTCCTGCCAAAAGCAATACAGCTGGAAAAGCCAGGGGTCTGAAGGTTAAAAGCTTTGTTAAATAGAACCAGGTACAGTAATTGTGGGTTTGGGGATATTTTACTGTAATTTTAGAGGCAAACACTCACATAAGGAGCTCTCCCCTATACCACCTGCGTGAAACGGTCCAGCAGCCGGGCGGTTTTTGCCCTGCTGTGTTGAGCATTACGGCAGCACGCAAGCTCAAAGCTCATTATGGTGTGTGAACAGAAGAGGATGAGTAGCTGGTAAAAGTCCCTGAAAACACACGCGTAAGAATAATAAACATATAGGAGCAAACTTCTCTGTCATTGTGGCTTTTTTTTTTTTTTGCACCTAAGGACCTGGAAAACATTTCCATCCCTGATATTGCTATACCAAAGGAGTCCACATATATAAAAAAAATAAAAAACAAGCCAGTAGTTGATCACTTTAAGTGTTGTGTAACGTTTTCTATGAATTATAAAAGCCTAAAACTCTCCCTGTCCTGGTGCACCCGAGAATCCCCTTCCTTCTCCATTTGTTATCAGTGAGGAAGAGGCAAGAGATGCAGCACTGAATCCTCCTTGGATCTTTGCCTCCCCCACTCAATCCGTGTGTGAGGGGGTCACTTTCAGCAGATCTATCCCAGTAAAGGCTTCAGCAAGGCTTTGATGCTGCCTCCATCTTTTGGGATTTCACATTTGTCGAATAGTCCCAAATAAGTGAAAGAGGAAGGGTTTGCTGTTGTTCCTTAGCTCACTGTTAGCGGCTTTTTCACTACACTCAGAGGAATATCCATCTTTTTTTTTGGCTTTCACCATGACGGTACTCCATGGACAACTGTGCCACTTAAGTCCAGCCACTTTAGCGCTGATTTGTGCTTTTTTCCCCCCCTTTCCTCATTTTTCCTCTCGCAAGCACAAACTTCTAAATTTGCCTCAGATTCCAAATTTGCCATGCCTGCTCTTGCGCACTGACTCTCGCTCAACCATATATCTGTCATTGGATCCATTAGTAAGTACAGTAGTAAGTTCAACTTTCTGCATGTGTTGCTGAGCTTCCCGTATGGTATGCTGGGTCTCGAGCAGGGTGGAGGGCTGGGGAGTAAAGGAGCGGTGAAGTGTTGTCCCCACGGTATAAATCACAGGGAACTGGCTTGCGCAGCAATTTAATTCAAGCTCTTGATGCCCCCTCCTCCACTCATCCATCTCCCCTCCAGCAGGGTCACCTTGAGTTTAAGGATGTGCTTGTTGGGATGTGGTAGGATCCAGAGGGGAACAGAGAGCCTCCCTGGTACACATGTGCAGGTGAAATCTCTAGATCGTGTTGGTGTGCATGCAACTTTGCATCTTTGCACCCGTCAAGGGCTGTTGGCAAGCAGGGATATTGTGCTCAAGCAGCTGACAATGCTTTTAACCCCAGACACAACCAGGTTAGGGGATCGATGCTCTTCTCTCCGTTCCCAAGAGCAGTAAGCCCCTGCTGTCATGCCTGACAGCACAGAGCCGATGCAAAGGTGTCAATTTTTGGATGTGCTAAAGTAAGTTTTTTTCACTTATGTTGATAGTCTCACCTTTTATGCCTAAGCCTCTCTCCAGCTCTCCTGCTACTCACTATGCTCCTGAGAACTATTTTTTTCCCTGTGCATTCTGATTCCTTTCTTCTTTCTTTCAGAAATTCTGGCTGAAAATCATATATTTCTAACCACTGAAAGGGATTTACATCTCAAGGACTTTTAGCACCTTTTTCTCCCAGTAACTGCATCTCAAAAACTAGTTTCCAGACCTCTCAAATCTCTCCGTATTCACCATCTGTTCAATCAGATCCCTTGCTCCACTAAGTACCTGCGTTGGCTTTAATCTCATGCTGACAGCACAACTATTGCCCTCCAGGATGGGCTCAAGGCCAGAAGATGAAAATGTCTGTTCTCCTCACCCTAGCCCTGCCCTAATCCTGTCATGGTTTTCAGAAGTGATGCTTGCCTTTAAGAACAGTCTAAATCCAGGTTTGGGAGCACAGGGAAGTGACTGGATGTTGGACTATATAAAACACATGCAAAAACTGATGCTGGAGTGGTATTAAAAAGGGCTTTCAACTCACCTTCAAAGAAAAGTCCCATCGGGTCCCCTTTCCCTTCAGGAAAAGCTTGGCAGAGTAGACACATCTTGTAAACACGCTCTGCAGGTCAAGAAACACAAGCTCGGCGCAGCTGGGGGCAGCAAGCAGGTGCCAACATTACGGGCTAATAATTGCAAACGTTTCGTTATTAGTCTCCTGTTTCATGACAGCGCCGCTGCCCCGATACCTCCCTCAGCGTTTATCCTCTCTGCGTGCTTAACTCGGCTGTAACTCCCGAGTCAGCCCCACCTTTACTGTCCTCCACCCCCCCAAGGACCCTTTTACAGGGCTGGGGGAGCACATTTAGCTGCAGGAGGTGGTACACGCTGCCGCTCGGGGGAGAAAGGCTTGCCAGCTGCTAACGCTTCCACGCAGCTGTGTAAACTCAGGGTGCAAGCAGCTGCTCCCTCCAGACCTGCTGGAGGGAGCCGAAATGCTTGGGCACCTCGGTTCTTTGCTAGCAGCCCCCGGTTTGGCCCCAAACACCCCGCAGCACCGCCACGGCCAGCCCTGTGCGGGGCAGGATACGGCCCTTGTGCATGTCTTCAGGATGGCTGAGACAGAGTGCTGCCCTTACACCTCCTCCTCATTCCCCAGGGACCACAATTCCTGGAGCACGGGTGGACCATGACCCATGCAAGCACTTGTGGCACCGATCCTAACCCCGCTCTCTAGCACAGGAGCAGCTCTGACCAAGGCAGGTCTGGTCCAGGGGTGTGAATTGGATGCTGAGAGAGAAAAGCGGAGGTATTTTTGCAGTGTCCTTAGCAGAAAAATAGCCTTAGAGCTAACCCGGAGCTCAAATGTTTAGGGTTTTATGTGTTGAAACCGACTGGTCAGTGAGAGTACAGCAATGGTAACACGCTCCTTTACCAGAGGGAATACACAAGCCAGTAGCCCTGCAGAGTGATAATCGAAGTTTCGGGTTCACTCGAGTACTTGTAATTGGCTATAATTGCATTTCCTGTAGGGAAAGCCATAAGGTGGGCTCAGAGGAAGCCTTTGCTACCTCGCTACCTCCAGACTCAGGTTACAGGATGAGGCTCTTATGCACCCGCGGGACATGTGAGAGGTTCGAGTCTCAGATCCCAATTCCACTTGGCTCCACAAGGCAGCCAAGGAGGGAGCAGCTCTTGCTCAGACAGCTCTCCCTGGCCATGAGAAGCTCTTGGGGTGGCTCCTCCCCTACACGGGACCCTGACAGCACTTGTATGGTCCTTCATAAATGCCCTTCTCGCATGCTGATGGCATAATACTCATCTTTTTGCTACAGCCTCCTTCCCAAAAATGCACCCTGAGGACCCTCTGGTTTCTTGGAGGCTCTCCGGTGTCCCTTTGCAGTGCGCCTTGTGTCCGCACGCAGAAGGGCACATTGGTGTAAATCCTTCCCAGTATACCTCCACCCCGGGAGCCACAAACAGGCCGGGGGATAAGACAAAGGGAAGCTTTCTTCAAGCAGAGGATGCCACAGAAACTGTTTGCAAGAGCAGGGAACTTTAAAGGGAAGGCGGCGACTCGGAGAAATTTTAGAGCCGTTGAGCCAGGACTTGGCTGATGCTGAAGGTCTCACACAGGGGAACCCCACAGCTCCGAGTATCTTTTCCCTTTTTCTGCTCTGCTGAAGCAGGGCGTTGTCTCTCCTTCCAAATAAAACCCACGTACGTTAGGATGATGGATGGCAGCTGGGAAGAGAAGTTTGTGTGTCTTCTGTTTGCTCGCCGCGGAGCGCCGGAGTTGTGTTGAGGCTGACAGCCCCTTTTGTGAGCCACGGCCTCGCCGTACAGATGCTCATTTGTTTCAATAAAAGCAGCCAAGGGGCTTGTGTGGTCTCTGCGGTGCGGACCCTTCCCTTCCTCAGCATTTCAGAGCTACCAGCCTCTGGATGCTACCGCGAGGCGGAGAGGGTAAAAATAAGGAAGGAGGGAGCGAGCCTCAGGAAGCCAACTCAAACGGCGGAGGCGGCATCTCAGGAAGCTCTCCCAAGACGCTGGGGTGCAGGGCAGGTGAAGAAGATCAGAAGCGTAGGAAATCAGGGAAACAGATGTGGCCGTGCCAGGCTTAGGGGAGGGAGCTCCCGAGATGCGGGGACGGCATTCCCATGCCTTCCCATCTGGCGGCGAAGGAAATTATGTAAAGTGGAGGGGCGAGGGGCCCCCTTTCTTTTTTTTTTTTTTCTTTTTTTTTTTTTTCTCCCAATTCTTTTCTCCCCTCACTTCCCATGATGCAATTAAGCATCCATTGCTGACATCACCATGCATGCACGCTGAATGCAGCCATTGTGTCTCGGCCGCGGTGCTGTACTATATATAGATTAGTTGCCAATCTCTGCTCTCTATCAGCAGGGAAGACACCCAAGGAATTAAGCGAGCGGTTGCGCTGGAGGGCCCCTGGCTTCTGTCCCGTGCCCTCAAGACACGACGGACTGCACGGTGGAACTAGAAATAATCAAAGATAAGTGATTTGGGGGCTGCGCCAGGAAACTTTTTCGAAGGATTGATTTGCAGCAGCTCTTCTGTGGCGGTAGGAAGGCAGCCTTCGAGGTGGCGGTGCAGGAAGCAGAGAGACAGCTTGACCTGCAGGTAAAAGTAAATGGCTAGTCAGTAATCTCCCCTGGCCAGTCGCTGTGCCAGGTATCAACGTGTAGTTGCAGATCCTGCTTCTTCAGTGCCAGGTGGATGGAGGAAAACCAGCTGCCTGGGGATTCGCAGGAGGTGATATAGGAGGTGGAGGGCTGGAGTCCCGGGCTGGGGTCCCCGAGCCACGCAGCCCCTCCCTGCTCAGCAGCGAGCTGTTAGATTGACACACGTTGGCGGCAGACAACTCCAAGGTGTAAATTGACCCCGAGAGGAAAGCTTTGATGTTGGGGGTTTTATTCCTTCTTTCTTGTTGACTTCACTCCAGGCCAAATTCCAGCTATGCCGTGGCCACTAGCAGCTTTCTCCATCGTTTCGTAAAGTCCCATTCCAAGGCGATGAGACCGAGTGTTGTCTCAGCCCTAGGCACTCACCTTCCTGCCCTCGTGCCACCCTTGGGCCAGCCACAGCTTCTCCATTCCCCAGAGGTGTTCAGCTCATCACTCGGCACTTTTTGTTGCTCTGCTCTGGCTAAGCATTTAAGAATAAGCTGGGTAAAAATGTTTGAATCTCGTAGTCCTTGGAAGAGTGATGTTATATAGGTAGCAGGCAGAGAAAAAGCTATGAGGGCAGTTTTGAAAATCTCCATGACAGAAATCCCCAGCCTTTCTGCCCCCTGCTGCCTCCCCTCCACCAACAAAGAATTTTTCCTTATGTCCAGGCATGATTTCCTTCCCTGCAGCTCATGATTGCTGCCTTCTCATCCTTTCAGTCTTTTCAGGTGATGCAAACGCAGCTCCCTTACCCTTTCTTCACACATCACACTCCAGTCCTCTAACCACCTCGAGATCCCTTGCTCCAGTAAGTCCATATCCTTTTTTGTACTGGGAGCCCCAAACTGGACATGGTACCCCACCTGCAGTTTCACTAATGCTGAAAACAGGGAAAGGATCCCTCCCTGGAAAGAGTCCCTCATGGCTTGCTTCATAATTTTCCTTGGCACAAGGATGAGGCTTGTCGGCTGCTTCTTCCCCACATTCTCCTTTCCGCCTTTCTTTTGAAGGCAGGCATCTTTCTCTGGTCATCAGGGACCTTTCCTGGTTGCCACGACCTTCCAGATGTGAGAGAGTGGTCTCACAGTAACATGGACCAATGTCCCCAGCATCCTCAGGTCCCATGGACTTGCCTCCATCCAGCTTACTTCTCTGGTGCTTAGCTTGACCATCCTCCAGCATGGGGAGGAATCCTCTCCCCTGTCTGTGGCACTGAGCTCAGACTTTGCCAGTAAAAGTGAGGCAAAGAAAGGATTGAATGAGTTTTTTCCAAGTCCACTGTCAGATGGCAATGGAAGGTAGGAAGCCATTTGCCTGGGCACATCACAGTTTGGTGGGGTTGGTGCTCGCCCCATATAAAAGCCAGAAAATTATATATCATTTAAATACAGAGCAACTCATTGAAGTTCTTGTTGACCAGGTGAACTCTGCCTTTCTCTTAGGTGGTAGTTAAAGCTGCTGCTGTGGAATAAAAACATCTTATACATGGGCTGAGGGCATTCAGTCTGGCACCAGGGGATTCATTACCTTGGGTCTCACCCCGGCACCCATCCCCTCTCGCTGTGTGCTCAGATGCTGGGGCACAGCAGAGCGGTCCCCAGCTTTGCTCCAAGCTGTGGTGACAGCTAATGACCACAATTAAAATGGCAGAAGATGGAAAAGTTTTAACGTTTTAAACTTCCTGGATTGTTAGTCACCTCTCAAAGATACTTTAAATATTGGTCAAAGGCCTGGCTGGGGGAAGGCTGACTACGTGACTGTCAAAACAAAACTTCCAGTGCCCCTGGGAACCTGTGAAACTCAAAAAAAAACCAAAAACTTCCAAGCCCTCCAGCAGTAGCTGAGAGTCCTGGCAGTTTCTGCTCCTGACTGCCCTTGGGCGTCTTGCCATGGGGGCCCTGGCATGGAGAGGCTCTGAACTGAACTCATGTATTTGTCTTTTATGATGAAGTTTTGTTGGATTTCTATCACTGCGTGGATCCAAACGGCAGCAGAAACCCCAGTACAAGTGGTGGTTCCTCGGTGGCTAAAGAGAAAAGCCCTACCTTTTAGCGAAGCCTGAAGTGCTGATTCTCTCCTGACATGACAGACTGAGGCTGTCTCAAGAAAAGGTAGATATTTATCTGATCCCAGCACCAGTGATCTGCAAGGCTCTGAAGCCATCTCTGCTTTGCAGGTTTCTGATAAAAGCCCGTTGCGTAATACCCCTGGCTCGCAGGTATAGGAACCGTGGCCAGCCCGTGAGGCCGAATGCATATCTTATCCACCTTGAGGCCAAAATAGCCTGACCTTTAGATGATCTTCGGAAGATGATGAATAATGTATTGCATCTCCCAGAAGGCCGGTTCCTGCCCATGCACTAACTGACGGTTTTCCTGACATCAACCAAGCATGCCAGCTCATATCTTGTCAAAAAGGGTTCTGAGATTACTGAGGGGAAAAACCTGCACAGAGGGGGAGGACTGCTGCGAAAAGAAGTCAAAAACTACTGCAGTTATAAAACAGGAGTGAGTCTTGGGGCAGCCTTGCCGTTATGCAGCGTCTGCAGAGCTGGGATTCTCCCGAGCACAGTAAAATCTATCAAAGAACCATCAGCAGGAACGGAGGGCTACGAGAGCACTT